TGATTCATTTTCAAAAATACGCTGTATTTGTGTTTTTGGTTCATTTCTTGTTTAGCCCATTTTAAGGTTATTCAAAAAAGCAAAAGGCACTACATAATATGTTGTTCAAGCAGCACCCAGACATAATAACATTTTGGCCACCATTCGGAATCATTTTGATAGCGTGGTAGTGCATTATATATTGATGCTGTCCACCGTTTCTGTCACCGTCTCAATCTCAAATGATTCCGAAGCCTTTTTTTAACCCTTTGGAGTACGACAGGGCCACAGCGCTAGCTTCGTCTCTCCTCCGCGTGCGGTCGCAGGCAGTCCATTGTGCGGAGTGGCTAGTGGTACCTGTCATCGCCAAGAAGGTTGTTGGGTCTACGACTCCACACAGGTGACTTTTTAATATCGTTTGATGTCAGCTTTTAGGTAGTTATTTTACCAAAAGAAAATCAGTTGTCAATAATTCACTACTTTCTGGTACGAAACGTAGATCCATAGGGTAACACCGATGTGTTACGATAATATGGTGTGATATGGCGTGTTAGAGATATGGTGCATATTTAACTGAAAACAAGAAACAACACGAAAAAAATAGCTCGTGAAGCGTTGTGGTTCTACATTACTGTGGTAATTTTTGTTCTCAATTTAGTATGCATCATGTCAAGCCCTATATCGTATCTTTACATTGTAACACAGGTAACTCATTCACTTGAACCGTTTGTTTAGCAATCGTCTTTTTATCAAAAAGTAGTGGATTGTTAACTATTCTTTGCTAAAATAACAATACATGTAAGAAAAACCTTTGCTACTTGCACACTGTGCCATCACCACATACGCCTCCCTCCTTGCTTCAATGCAGGGCTGAATGTGAGGCGTGGGTCACTGACGAGGAGGACGAACCTCCGAAACACCGGTGTATGTATGACCATGGCGTATCAACCCCGTTTAAGCTAAAAGCATTCTTTTTTTGGAATTATATTGGACGTTTTTTTTTTCGGGGTTTCAAAAACACTCGATCGAAAATTCAAATGTTTTGCTTAATTTTTGAAAACAAGTTCTTTAGCGCGCTGTGGCAGTAAGAATAAAATTGAGTTGCACATTTGAGTACATTACCCTGAACACAGTTTTTCTTTCAAACTTACGATAGCCTTTGACAGCACGAATCTCACAATGTCAATGGTAAGCTTGAAATTCAAGAAAAACTTCTTGTTGCGGTGTTGAACCTAAAAGAGTGTTAAGTTTTGCACTCGGCGCGCAAGTTGCACATAGCACGTCACATGTGAATTGCGTCGCGCGATCGACACGGAGTCGATTGCGAATCTCAATATTTTATTGGCTGTAACAATGCACTAAAAATTTCTTTTTAACAAACAGACATATCATTGAATTCGTTGATTTTTATGATATCGGATGGATATCGAAAATCTGAAAGGAAGCTATGCCAAGCAAAAGATGCTTGAATGTGAAGAAAGGTTATTTTCCACCATTACATCGTAATATCAAAGCCATTTGAAAAATTAGATACTCCGTTCGAACTCTCAAGATTTAAGCCATTACATGACTATTGAAACGTCAAAAAAGAGTAGAAAAAGTACGTTTTTGAACTTGGTTACGGATACGGGAAAAAGTACCGTTTATTCAATGCTAATTAACACCGAAAAGTCTTCTATAAAGCGTCATGTAACTGACAACCTTCTACACGATGATATGTACCACTAACCACTCGCAGTACGGATGTTTGCAGCCGCACGCCGTGGCATATCTGAGCTGGCGCTACGGCCCTGTTTTCTCAAAAGACTAAAGAAGGCTTGCAACACAATTGAGAATGAAACGGTGATAAAAACTGTGAACAGCGTTATTATTAGTGGACCACCAAGCTAGCACAATGCTTGCGAATGGTACTGAAAATGTTGTCATGTCTAAGTGCTGCTTGAAAACACAACACTATTAACAAAGCTAACAATACCATCACCACAACATCACAGAGCGCTGCTAACTATAGAGGATCAAGGTCATGAGCTAGTGTGAGCACCTGAAGCGCTGCAATAGGGCCCTGTCAAGTCGACGTTGTCGCAGTCTCATCCTCTTTCAAAACAACTCATGCCGCCGGATTACAAAGAGGGAAGTTAACCGAACTGGGTTGGGAGGTGCTGGATCATCTGCCGTACAGCTCTGACTTGTCTCCATCTAACTATCACTTCATCCAGCCGCTGGAGCACTTCTTGAGCAGGAAGAAGTTCCGAGACATCAATTATTTTCGTGGAGACTGACGATTTTTTCTGAATCCAAGGACGACAAAATCTATGAGCGCGGTTTTAGTTTGTTGCCTGAGAAATGGAAGAATTGTGTTTAGGCTGATGACGCATACTCGAAATAATATTGTGTAGAGTGATGTGCAGAAGTTTCGTAAAAGCATAAAAAGAGTGATGAGCAAAACGGGCGTTAGTAGTGCAGCGGGTTAGAGCATGCGTTCCTGGATAGAGTGAAATATGGGTTCTAGCCACGACTGACGCGAAAGTCTTGCACATGACTCTACAACATTGGGTATATTTGAAATACCACCGCTAGAAGTAGCTAAATAGTGAAGGCATAATATTAAATAGTAATGTTAAGCAATTTTAACAACTTCTGTTCTGAAATTTGATGTTTATTGCTCTAGTGCCAAAATTGGTGGAAATTCTAATAAATTAGTTCTCAACATTAGTCAAAATGTGAGTGAGAAAAACTGACGTCTTAACTGGAATTCGATATACATGCTCTAGACATGTTCAGCTTCTACATTGTTAAAGCATAGAAATAAAAAAAAAGCTGTAATGTCTTAGTTCCGTAATATTTCGAATCTTATTTTCGCAAGACACAAAAGAGATGAATCAGGAAGAAAGAAAGAGAAAGATAAAATGCACACAGGCAACGTAGAACGCCATGGTCTTCATGATGAATGGCGTAGACGTCGAGAGGAATGAGTAAACAGACGTCAACTGGATGATCATTCATGCTAAAATGAAAAGACTGAGATAATTAACTCTTGAATAGACGTAAATGCGCTTCGTCGACGTATGTAGCTAAAGCCAGAAATTTCCATCAGTAAGACCTGTTTTAAGTAATTTCCTTAATATCTCACTTCATTACCGGTTCATTTTTGCCGTGCATGTTTAACCCAATAAAGAATTTTTGTGACTTTCAAAGTCGTATAGGTAAAAAGGAGAAGTGCTGCATCCTTGTCGAGGGTGGATATTGCAAAATATATCCTACCAAATCTGTATCGATTTGATTTCCATTTTTTCAGACAATGGATAACCTACCTCAACTCATCGTACTTACCACAGAAGGTCGTTCTAATCGTTCCGCTTGTCAACACTATAATGTCGAATTTCTAGACGTTCCGTCGGCATTGTCGTATATGACAACCGATGACTCGTCGCTTCTTGGCAGTCGTCTCCTTCGTGTGCCGTGTCTTGACACTTTTCATTTCTATAGTGTTTTTTTTTACTGATATTCGCCAAGTCTTTCTCTCGCCGTTACTCAATAAAAAAATCGCAGCATTCTACTAGTAAGAGTTAATTTATGAAAACTTGAATGTAGCAGTTAGAAGTGAACACTGCTGCTCGTATTCCACTTGTTGGTAGACAATTTGCGATTGTGTATATAGATAAATTATTGAAAGCGATTCTAATTTCGATGGAGAATATTTAGGTATGTACATATCTCCAATTACTGCTATCTGTTTGCTTTCACTACTGGAACTAGTGATGGGAACATTTCGCCAACAAAGTGTAGCTGTCAAAGGAATCGTAAATAGCCGAAGTGTTCGTCAACCCGGAGCATTTGTGCAACTATATGATGAAGACATTAGTAAGTTTCATGTGCAAGTTTTTCACAGGTGTGTGATATATATCAGACTCGTAATGGTATCGAACAGGTTAACTATTTACTGCATCACGAGCAATCGAAGTGCTCTGTTCACTTCAAAATTGTGCGGTAGACAAGAAGCACTCAGACACGTTATGGGTATGCAATCCCCAAGCAATCACAGAACGTGTCGCCCTAAATTTCATAGAAATACCCACTTTAGTTCAAGTAATGGACAGTGACGATTTACTGGGTTCAACAACGGCCGATGAGCTAGGAGTATTTTGTGTGTCAGGATACACAACTGAGGTATGGTTTGTAGAGAAGTACTAAAAATTATTAAGTGCTACCCTATTACGTTGACACTTAATTGAATATCTGTACAATACTTTATTTTTTCATGATTTTATTTCATTTTCTTCTATTCTTTGAATATTTCTGAAAGACGAGTCAGAAGATAAGGACTCCATTCGTTCTCCTTTTGTTTTCAGTTTCGTACTAATACAAAAGTACTTGTGATAGCTTCACATCCGAGAGATCCATGTGCAGAATGGACGGCAATATATTGACAAATTCCACAAACTCACGGTCTTAAACGTGTTCTTTGAGTGCTTTTCTTCTAGATCAATGTTTCCTTCTAATTTCTTTTCTTGTCTTTTCTTTCTTGTAAAAAGACCGCATGTAGCGCAGTGCTTAGAGATGCTCTTCGAGGTGCGGGTTGTAAAGGCCAGATACGCATTCAGTCACCTCAGGCGAAGTTAGAAATTGAAGACGAATGCATGGTGAATCCCTCAGGGATTGATTAACGCCCAGAGCTTTAGCTTAAGGTTTCTTTTCTTGTACAATCTTTCCTTTATATACCGATTTAATGAAAATGTTGTTCTCTGATTTAAAAGTTTTGTTTGATCATACCCGATAATGTTGAGTGTTGTGCAAAACTTTGACGTCAGACCAGACTCGAAGCTTTATTAACCCGGTATATTTGCTACATCATATCACCTCTAAAGGCGGTTGAATTTTAGAAAATCCCTGTTGATTACATCTATACACTATCTGTCAGCGTAACTGAGATCGATGCCGATATGACTTGCCAGACCAAACTGTTGTCGCTTGGTTACCGACAGATTGATGCGTTATAGAGTAGAAATGGTGGTGGAAAAACAGGCGTGGGTAGTGCGATTGGTTAGCACGCGTCTCCGGAAAGGGTGAGAAACGGGTTCGATTTCCGTTTAACGTCAAAGTTTTGCACATCACTAAACAATATTGGGTATACTCGTAATATCATGACACCACTAAAAGCAGTTGAAAAAAAATTCTTGTTTTGATTGACTTTTAGATATGAAGTAGAGTGATGCTTATGCAGATGAATGTCACAACAAGATGTTTCGGAGTGCAAGAAACACCTTAATCTCCGATCATAGTAGTATATGGTTAGTGGAAAGACTTCAGTTCAGCGGATGCTCCCTGAAAAAAATCTTACATTTGTCTAGTTTCGTTGACTATTGAAAAACGCTTCTGATTACTTGATAAAACTCACTAAATTGATCAGGATTCTTTTTATCTGACTGCCTTTAGCGCTGGTTTCATGTTATAATATACTCAGTGATGTAGATTGATGTGCAAACCTTTTGCCTCAGTTGGGATTCAAACCCACATATCACCCTATCCGGGAGTGCGTGTTGAATCGTTGCACTACCGGCACTCGTTTTGACACCACTCTTTTTCTACGCTACAACGCGTCTATCCGTCAGCGACCAGCCGTCATCGGTCTGGCTTGGGTGGCCGCTGACAATGAACTCACCAATGCTGACAGACATTGGATATTGATGACCAATAAACAGTCTTTTCACATCACTCCATATCACTGGGTTTATTATAACATCGTACCAACGCTAAACCGCCCTCGATAAAATAGTGGTTTACCCTTATTTCGAGTGCTTTGTCAAGACCACGCTCAAATTTTAATAGATCCTTTCATTATTATCTGAGCCAACTTGTCATGTGGTCTGGTAAGGGCTCTTGTACAGCCCGATACGCGTGTTCCTTTTTACAGACTCGTCAGTCGGGTAGAACCCGTCGTCTTTCGATCTTTTTATAGACAGTTCTCTCTGGAGCCCTACTCTCCTCCAAAGAGTTATCGAAGACGAACGTTTTACATTCTACGTCAAGTGAAATTTTCACCTAACACAGAGTGTTGTACACTCGATTGCTCTATGGCTGGTATATTTATCATATTAAACCTTTATTTCGAGTGTTTTGTTAAGATCACGCTCAAATTTCGATAGATCCTTTCATTATCATCTGAGCCAACTTGTCATGTGGTCTGGTAAAAAGTGTGTAAGTATAATGATTAGTGTCCGCGTCTGTTCATGAGGAATAGTGCAGGATTTTTCCATTTCCCACTTCCATTGCATAGAATTGTTTTTCGAATAGTCAAAAGGCAATTTGAAAAAAGAAGAGTAGAAACTTGCTACGCTAGGGATGTAAGTATCATTCTGAAAATTAGGAATTTTCAAAATAATGCAACGTTCCCTCTTACTAGAAAGACGTTTGTAGCGCTCTCTTCAGTACCGGTATATCTTTTTGCAATGATAAGGTTAGCTTGAAATCGCAGTCTTCCTATAGAGTACCAGAAATTTTCTGGGAAGTTGAAACAATACACTAAGGTAGAAAGATGTCGTATTGTTCTGTTATTAGAGCGCATACTATGAAAGTCTTGTCAGAAACCAAGCTCATCTCTAAAATTTCCGTTTTAAGCTATCAAATGATTACTCATAATCTTGTGAAAAAGCCCTTTAGAGTATAAAGGGAGGGAAACATGAGCACATTGTACAGAGTACGAATGCAATCACACAACTCATAATAAAAAGTAGGAATTTTCAAAAATGGACGCTCTTTTTCTAGAAATACGTTTATAAGAGTGTCTCCAGTAAAAGTGTATCTTTTTGCGGTAACAATTTTTTTTGAAGTATTAATTTCACTATATGGTACCAAAAATCCGTCGTGAAGTTGAAAGGACGGGCTGAGTGATGCGGAAGCAAAATGTTATTCATTCTTCGCTAATAGCACGCGTAGAAGATGTTCTTTCTAGAAGTCAAGTTTGGTATTAGAATCTTCAGTTCACAAACTATCGAATGAGTAGTTAGTCAAATGAAAAAGTTCTCTTCTAGGGAAAACCAAAGATTCACATCCACATATCACACAATTCGGCATAAATCCTAATCAAAAGCAAAAACTTTTGTGTCTTCGCTAAAATACGTTCATAAAAGTTAGTCCTTTCAATTATGACCTATCTCTTTGCAACTATAAAGTCTGTTTATAATCGAAATTATAATATATAATACTAAAAAGTTCGCTGTGCTGCTGCAAAAAATAAACTCCGGTTGCAAAATGTCCTTTTTTTATTAGTGAAACACCTCTGAAAGCCTCTTCCATTCTAAGCTTAGTAGTAAAATTAAAATTTTTCGAACTATTGATTGACTGCAGAAACATGAGGAAAATAAAAAAAATTATTAACAACAGTTGCAAAAATATATTCTTTTTGCAAAGCATAGTTTTTCCCACGAAAAATGCAGGGTTTCAAAAAGCATTGGCGTCAGTTTTACTAGAATTATCGATACAAAGACTCCCTCAGGGATATTTCATATATATTGAGGGCATTTTTTCTTTAAAATCCTAATGAACCCGGATTTGGTATTGGAGCGTGCACAGTCTTCGTAACAGTCCGAACGTGACGCCCAGCTGAAAGCCAAAATGTCCATCGTCCGCAAAGGGATATATATACCATCATATATAGCATAGAATAGCATATATAGTATGGATAGCATATCTCGTATAAACACGGACTCACCATATTTTGTGACCTCAATGCAGCAGCCAATCCAACTGATTGTCGAGGCATTTTCGGCTGCCTACGAAGAGCATATGCTTACATCCCATTTGTAATTAAAACTTGGTATGCTGAAACAATCATGAAGCTGAAAACCTAAACTACTCACCATTTAGCCCAGAATAAGACTGGCCCTTCTGTGCAAAAATTCTCCGGAATTAACAACCGACTTTTTCTCCCATACATTAAGTAAAAATATGTGGTAAGGAGTAAAGAAGTCGGCGTTGATGAATCTGTGAGGAAAGTGCCACGTGTTCGTCCATTTCTAGCATCGTTCAAAGTGACTGATCTGGCTTTGCAGTGACTCGTAGTAGCCTACCGATATAAGAAGTCAGAGTGGGCTATCTTCACAGAGATATCTGGTACCAATCACCAACTCGGTGGGATGGAAGGCTTGGTGAGCCTTGAGAGTAGGATTGAATCATCGATCATCAATATATCGAAAATGTGTGTGTTGCAAAACACCTCTAACCACTACGCCACTTTCGGACTATGAATAATAGTATTTAAACGTAACACTGGTATAAACTTATAGTGAGTTAATGATGACTTGGAATTGCATACCCTCTGTAATATAATTTTTGACGAAGTATTTATTGTTTTCTGAAACTCAAAATATGAACAAAATTTAGGAAATAGAAACTTGCTACTTTTCGACACTAGTGGTACGTCTTTACAGTTTTTTTTTTTCACTGTGAGGGTGACAGTACTTTTGGCATTCAAGTAATATTTATATAAATATTTAAATTTTATATAGTTGATATAATTTATAGTATAATATCAATATATCTAGTATTTATACGGTAATATGTTTAAACTTATTCAAGTAATATTTATTTATTCACAAGTAATTCAAGTTGGCATTTCGTCTTCCTTTTGGACGTCGTAGTATACTGGTTGAGCGAATCTCCTTGCAATATCGAGGATAGCACATTTGTGGGCGTTTCACGAGACTTTCGTTGGTCAGCGAGTGTTATATATTGATAATGCTGCATAAATCATTGCTAGCGTTAGGTAGCAGCAAAATGTTTATTTGATCATATTTGAACCCAGCGATAATTCGAAGCGAAGCACAAGAAGTAATCTAGTGGTCCTCCACGGCAATTTGTGTAAAATGAAGTAACTACTGGAAATCACATTAGCTCATATTAGATGCAGACTGCGTATGTCATAGACTTCTAAAAGCAGTGTATACCTCAGTGTTGTACTTTTTTATGAAGAATTTTTTATCGCGGCGCCGTAGCTGAATTGCTGTGATGCTCATCGCAACGCGCGTGGAGCCGAGCCCTATCCTCCAACTCCCTCCGGCAATAAACAACCGCGCCCTATGGAACACAGCAGCCAGGCTATTCTTGAGATTGCGAGGAGACTTGCTCAATGAGCTTTCTACGGCTTTCAAGAAGAGACCAAACCTTGAATTGAATGTTAGAAGTACTGGGATCCACACTGTAAAAAAAGAAGCACTGTGAAGATGGATCAATAAAGTGCCTGAGAGCGTCTAGGAGAATCCCCTAACCAACAGTAAGCATTTAGGTGTCACTCATACGGACTAGAACGTTGTGGACAAGAATGTCATGTGCAGCAGATGTGTAGAGTTTTAGAGGCTACGAGATTGAAATGAGCTGAGCAGAAGTCTTGAATTAACATTATAGATGGACGAATAAAGTGCCGAGAGCAACAAATTAGCCTGATTAAAGAGTCGCCGTTTTCTTCATCATACATACCAACTCTGAATGTCATTTAGAAACATTTTTGAACGGTTACAATAACACCGCAGGCACCCGAAACTCTATGGAAGAGGTTAAGAAGGCGACATTTAGTTTATCCAAGTCATGATTGTGATAGCAGTAAGAACAGACAGCTGTTTAAACACGCAAACTCAATATCACCTTTTCAAAATATGAAAAAAGCTCAAAAACCTACATAGAACCACTTGCTTTCTGTCCAAGACCAACACAGATTTAATTTCCTGCGCATGAATTCTTTCAAGCAGCAGTCCTTGTAGTTCATACAAAAGCTCATCAATGCGATGATTTTGCTAGAAAGCCTCCAACTGAGTGAAATAACGGAATGTTTCAACACTCGTTCGAGGTTTCAAGTTTTGCACATCACCCAGTATTATTGAACATATAGTGGAATGAATGTTTTACACTTTTTGACTTGTTGACCGCACTCATTTTGGTTTACTTCTAATAGAAATATTTGGCCAACTGTCACTTTCACATAGAAAAGAAAGGCAAAAAATGGATTTTATAACACTTTGTTTGCTTCAATACCTCAATCTAAGTTCCAGTTTTGAAAAATTGCTGAAAGTTTCAGCAACTACATATCTTGCCCATATAAGGGGCA